TCAAACAAAAACCAATAACTACAAACCAATAATAACATAAACAGGAGAAAACACGATGAGCACGCTTGGGCGCATGGTCCTAATCCTCTGGCTCTTTGTGGTCCTAATTGTCACGTCTAGCTACACAGCCAGCTTAACCTCGATCCTCACTGTCCAGCAGCTGGCTCCTTCCATTCAAGGGATTGAATCCTTGATCTCGAGCAATGACCGAATAGGGTTCCAAGTTGGCTCGTTTGCCGAGAACTATTTGGCAGACGAGCTCAACATTGCTCGATCGAGGCTTGTCCCGCTTGGCTCCCCTGAAGCCTATGCGGATGCTCTCAACAGTGGGAGAGTTGCTGCTGTTGTTGACGAGCGTCCGTATGTGGATTTATTTCTTTCCAATTATTGCACGTTTCAGGTCGTTGGGCGTGAATTCACCAAGAGCGGTTGGGGATTCGTGAGTCTCTCTCTCTCTCACTCTCTCTCTCTCTTTCTCTCTCTCTGTCTGTCTCTCTCTATCTTTATCTCTCTCTTTCTCTCTCTCTTTCTCTCTCTCTCTCTCTCTCTCTCTCTCTTTGATATGAAGATGCACTGAAATAGAAAGGGAGATGATGAAATTGGCAATCACAGAGATGATCAGCTAGGAATGAATATTAACTGTGAAACTACATGACTGCGAAATGTTATTTCACCATATTGCTAAAGCAGACTTTCATATGCTCAACTTTATGAAATAAATCCCCTGAGGTTCAGTCTAACTGCTAAAAAATGTCCCAGCTTGTCTTTTTGAAATTACAGATATTCTCCATTTAAGAGTTTTTTATATCACGGTTTGGCTGCCTGTTAGGAGTGCACTTTTGTAAGACGTAATCAAATTTCGGCCGAATAACTGTAATATATTATGATATTTCAAGTATATATTTGTAATTAAGCTGAATTGCAGGGGAAGGTTTTTGTTATTAACCTTGCATGTGACTGATGTGTTCTGGAGTAATGACAGTTTCTCTATCCGGTTTGCATTGTTGATTTTTATGAATTATATCCATAGAAATGCATGATCACCAAATATACTCTCAGAGATCTGCAAATAACTGTTTTGCTAATTACTCCCTCGATAGTCTGCAGTTTGTAAAAACTAAAAACAGATGCATGTTTATTGAGATCAGAGGGCATATCTGTAATTTATTTTTTCGCAATTATACGAGAAATCAACTGAAATAGTAATCGGTTCTCATTTCATTCTTCTTTCCTTAATTCTTGAATATAATTATGCGTTATCTCAACAGGCATTCCCTAGAGACTCCCCGCTCGCCACCGACATGTCGACTGCTATCCTAACCCTATCCGAAAATGGGGAGCTCCAAAAGATGCGCAAGAAGTGGCTCAGCTCACAAGCCTGCACCCAACAAGGCTCGGACTCAGGCTCGGATTCGGACCAGCTTCAACTCAAGAGCTTCTGGGGCCTCTTCCTAATATGCGGGATTGCCTGCTTTTTGGCTTTGTTAGTCTATTTCGGCACAATGGTACGCGAGTTCAAGCGGTACATTCCTCATATATCCGAACCCTCCACGCCAAGCAGCTCAAAATCCATGCAGATCAAGAGATTCTTGTCGTTTGTGGACGAGAAGGAGGAGGAGTTGAAGAACAAGCTCAAGAGGAAACGAATGGAAGTGGTGTCAAATGGGAACCAAAGGACGATTTATTAAGGAGGGAGGCAAAGGGATGGGAATGAAAATCAGAAACCTGTAGAGATATATGTGGAGCTTCTGTTATGTTGCTTAAGGGGGAAAAAAAAAAGAATGTATATGTTATACTGATATAGTCTTCTGCAATTTTAGTGTTGCACAAGTGTTGTGCCACAGGTCCAAAGATATATGGTAAATATGCACCTCAGAGTTTTAAACTTGATTGAGCTCTTGGGTTTTGGTATAATCCCGAATTTATCAACATGACATTCATCATTTTTTTTAAAAGTTCAAGTCTTGCATTCAACATCACCATTTGACTATGGAGAACAAGGGCCGTTGTTTGATGAATTATTCTATATTCAAATGAGCTATGTACCTCCTACTCATGTTACTTTCGGTTATTTTCATCCTTTTTTATCGAGTTGATCTTCAACTTTGGTCTTAAAATTTGTAAACGTGTCCACAATCTCGTCTTTGTTTCTTAACAAATATAAGTAGCAAAACCCTATACAATCATTTATAAAAGTTTGTTCGCGTTTGCAAGATTTCAAATCAAATACATCAGTATGGATTAAATCTAAATGTTCATTTCAACTAAATAAAAAGTAATTTAGTCATTTTGGCTTCAACACAAATTTCACATTTTTCACCTGACTCGACTTTAGCATTCGGAATTAATTCTAAATTTGTTAAACATTTAATTGTATTTAGATTTACATGTCCTAATCTAATATGCCACAAATCAAAGCACGCAACGGTATAAACAAAAATATGCTTTTCATTATTATTTGAAATGGTTGTACGGCTCATAACCATTATATGCGTTTTGAAAAGTCACTTGTCTAGATAGCCACGGCCAAGGAGCATTCCAAATTTACTATGAACAAACTTTTTAGCATAAAAAATATCCTAAATCCATGCTCGACAATAAACAATTTAGAGACCAAATTCTTACAGATGTCCGGGACATAGAGAACATCTTAAAATTCAACTCATTTCTAGAATTATGCTTCAGCACCATAGTGACAACTCCAGCCACATCAAACAAAGAGGAGTTTCTCATGTGGAGTTTCTGACTAGTAGAAAAGGTGTAATTCAAAAACAACTCCTTGTCGGAACAGACATGACGAGTAGCACTACTATCAATGTACCACTCTCTTGGGTTATCCCACATATTGGTGCCAAACACCACAATCGACATATCAAAGTTAGTCAGTTATCCCAACACAGTCTCATGTTCAGGGGCACTAGAGGCTTTCACTTCTTAGGCTTACGCTTTTGGGCCCACTGGCCTAGGCTTCTTGCAGTCCTTAGCCATATGCTTCGGTTTTTCACAGTTGTGGTAGTTTCTGGTAAACTTCCAAACCCTGATCAGTTGCTTCTCCTTATTATTCACTAGAGGCTTTCGCTTACTTGAGTTGCTTTACTCCAGCAAATTAGCACAAGCCTCCATCATTGGAACTTTTCTCGAAGATTGACGGTTGTCCTATTTAATATGGAGAAGAACAACTAGAACTTCAAGAATCTTTTTGTTTCTCTTATGCTTGAGGTAGTCCTTGAAATCTTTTCAACCCAGAGACAACTTATTAATCACATCTACACTTGGAACGACTAACTCAAAGTCATTCCATCATCATGAATATCGTGCAAGATCTATTGAAACTCTTGAACTTAAGACACGACGATTAGTGTCGAGTTACGAAGGAATCCTATGAACTGAAGTGAAATTGTTTCAGTTCTTACAACATAAACTAAAAACAGCAAATGAAATTATTAGAGATCTTGATGCGGGAAGAGAATAAATCGAGGCGAGAGTTTTTCTCGAATACGCCACATAATGTGTTGTCGAATTCAGGCATTTCATCCCCAAGGATACAATGACTACGTCATAGAAGCTCTACCACTTTAAGACTTCCAAGCTCCAGTAACTTGAATGGAGTAAGAACATAGCACTACGTATATGATACATGAGGTTATCAGAAAGTCTAATACAAATTATATATGTTATGACCTTCTGCATCTCTAAACATGTTCTAGTTATAGGACTTCCACTCTGTAGGTTCATGCAACCATTAATGGTCTGTAACAGCCAACTAATGGTTACTGTAATAAGCTCAAAACTGTAAGGTGTTTACCTGTCATTTTTTAGGTGTTAACACATCTTTTACTACACCTGATAACCTACTAAACAGTCAGATGGAGCCAACTTAGCCAAATACAATGTATCTGATGAGGTCCATTCGAGTTAGGTTAGGGCAAAACCCAACATAAATTGGATTTTATTAAGGGTCACAAAATTGCAAATAAATTTACAGAAAAAAAAATTCTTGGGCTTGAGACCAAACTCGACAGCATCCTGGACAGCCCCAGTCCAACCCAAAGTTCAAGTACCAAGAACCAAATTCAAGACCAAGTCCAAGGCCAAATTTCAGTCCTCTGCCCGTGTTCTTGCTAGGTCGATCGATTGGCCAGCCGGCAGACGCACACACGGCTAAGGCCAACACCTACATTTGATTCATAGCTTCAGTTGTTGTTGTGACATTTATTTCCAGTTTTCTTTATTATAATAAAGAGGGTTATCCCCTATTTAATAATCCATTGTAAGATTGATATTTTGACATTTCGAATCTCACGACCAACATTTAACACTTAACAAGTATTTGACTCTGTGTATCTGCACATATTTAAATAAAGTATTATAAGTTATTTATACGAATATAATTTTAAAATTTAAGTTAAATAATGATATTATATTTTAAACATAGAGTATTATAAGTTATATTTATACATATAATATTAAAATTATAAGTTAGATAATGGTATTATGTTTAAAAATTTGATCATTGGTTATAGTACATAACGATTTGTTGCATACGAATCACTATAGTGATTGCATAAAATGTAAGAAATAATGTAATATTTGTAGTTTTGAGGGATCATGACTAATTATTAATTAGCTGAAAAATATTAAATTTATTATAACAATTGCTTATGCGATTTTAAGGAATTTTACTATGACATCAAAACAAAGTAATTTCTTTAAAAAACAATCACTTAATCAGATAACATGTAATATTATTTTAGAATAAATAACTTGAGAAAAAAAGTTTTAAGAATGTAATCTTTTATGTTTAGATAACTTTCATATATTATTTAGTGTAAAATATAATTATTATTTTTAATAATAACTATTATATGATTAATTTTAATAATAATAACTATTATATGATTCAATAAAAAAGTATAATTATTACCCAATTTAGTTAAACGACAAAAAAGTACGAGCAGATTTTCGAAGAGACGCTTTCTCCCTTTAAAAGCACAATCCTTTTTATTTGAGAAATACGTATGGGATATATACATAAAGAACATACTATATACAGTATAGATAATTTGCTATAAACTTTCGATCGTTTGGAAGATCATACCAATCCAACAAGATCGTTCAGAAAATCACACAACTCTAACAAACTGAAGAACACAAGAATTCTCAAAACTAATGAATTCAGGTACGCTTCCGCTATTCGGTTTGATTCTCAATTATTCGATATGAATGCTCCTGGGATAAAGCGATTTTTCGCATAAATTTAAAATTACTATCATTATATTCATTCATGTCCCATGTTATGTCTTGGAGTCGTACCTATTCGATATATATAGAAGAGTTATTAATAATGAACGGATTTTTTAAAGTTGACGCAACGTAAAGTTACGGTTTTTTAATTTCTTTCATCCTTTGAACCTTCTACTAGAATATACGCACGACAAAAATAAAGTAGTAAACCCAAAGGATTCAAAGCAAATTGCTTTGTGCAACCTTTTTTACGTTAAAAAATCCCAGTTTTATTTTAACTTTTTCATTTTCTAAAGTCTCAACAATAAAGAAAACATCAACAAATTGTAAGAGGAAATAAATATCAGAGATATATATTTTCTTATGTATAATTGTCCTAAAATTGGATATTCCAATTCACATCTGTTAATATATTTTATTGTTTATACAACAAATCATATTGTAAAATTTCACCTCATCACACTCTAAAAATGCTTTCATTTTCTTTCATAGAAGCGTTAGAAAATATATGCAGAAGCACTAACGGGTATTTGTAAAGCTAAAGAAACAATTTAGAATATGCGACCACATTTGATGGAACTTTTATTCCCACAAACAGCTTATGGTATCTTAATCTATAACTTTTGTTCCCACAAACAACGTTCAAGCGTAGTGGTCAAATTCAATTTTATAAAGAAAATTAAATATGCGACTGAAAAAAATTCAGTCATTTGAACTATAGAAAAATTAAACGACAACAATAACTNACATTCAGAAATAAGAATATTCATTTTTTGTTATGGAAAGTGTTTTTAGCATCGAACTTTACCCACAAGATGAACATTTTTTTTTTCTTGGAAAAAATGCTTATACGATTTACGCCCGTTTGTAAAAGTGCTGTTTGGGCCCTTGCCAAACTGTTCTTAAAAGTGCTGATGTTAACTTAGTTTTTTTGTTGATGTAGGTTAAGTATTAAATGATAAATTTTATAAAATTAATGCATAAAATTATCTTGTTACTTTCAATGAATTACGAGCACTACAAAAAATTGTTATATTATAACGAAAAATCTTACGGTAATATATTCCAATAAAAATTTCAATAGATATTCAAATGGTATAGTTTCCGTTGGATTTATTCAAACAGAAATTCCAACGAAAATATTCCGTTAGAATGTGTTTTATTAGAATTTTAGATGGAATTTGATGATTCCAACAGCTATTTTTCCAACTAATTTTTACCGTATGAATTTCCGTTGGAATTTTATTTTCACCTCTATTGGAAAATCTACCGTTGGAATCGTCAAAAACCAACGGAAATTCCAAAAGAAAACTCATTCCAACGAAATATTTTTGTTGAAATTTTCATTGGAATCCAGTGGCCTACATGCTCGGGGGGCCATATTAACAACTAATTAAAAATAGTTAACTTTGCAAACACTTTTTTTTTACAAACCACTAACACAATCAGCTGATCAAAATAACTAATACAATTCGACGGCCAAAGAAGCTAATGCAATCCGCGTCAAAGCAGCTAATGCAATCTACTATCAGCTAATTAATAGCTAACCGTTGATTATCGTCCGTTGGTATATATTGCTATAATTTCCAAGTCAAAAAATAGTTGGACCACAAATGTTATTCATGTTACATTGTAAGTTGATTAATCTATTTTATATTTTCAACAAAAATATATACTTATACAGTAAAAATAACATATTTTGGTTAATGTATTTCTTTTATGTATAATATTTTAATATAAAATTATACATATTTATTAAAAACCAACAA